TAACGCCAGGATCATTATCATCCAATTCCTTGTGGCATCGAAGTTTAGGACGAGCTATCGGAACAACGGCACGGCGCGTTTTCCTCGTATCTCGGGACACGTCATTTGCAGCAGCTTCAAAATTTTCCGACTCTAGCGGTTTAAACGCGCGTCTAATTAAGGAATTCCTTATCGTTATTATTATATTCCGCTTATTTTGATTAACAATCGTAGTACGACAATGACTTCATACCGACTGTTGTATTTTTTATTATAATTTTTTGTTGCTCGGCGAGCGTTTTATAGTGGTGAGCCGACCTTGTCACGAACTAAATTTTGTGCCAACTTTTGACAGGGCGAAATTTTAAATGTCATATTTTAAATTGCGAAATCGAAGCCCTTGCAGACAAGGATCAAAAAAATGGCTGGGGAAAATGCCCCAAGGAATTCCGCATTCCCGGGCATAATAACCAGGGAAAATCCCCACTCGCCAACACTAACCTATTTATCCAGCACGTTTATTTACTTTAATGTCGCAGCGGTTAGTAATGTAAGTTGTAAGGTCTCATTTTTTTTACTTGTTCAGGAGTGGTCAGTTTATAAGTATAAACCCATGCATTTGTTACCGTAACCACGTAATTATTTAGATAGAAATTGAGCATAGAATGGGTTTGTTTTAGCCTCTTAATTCTCCATAGTAATAGGTATAGCAAACCGGTAGTCAGCAACGTCTTTTATAACTGGTAACATGTCATTTCATTCTTGTTGACTCAACTCTCTTGCAATGTTACAATGGCTAAAAATTAATGTGCTTAGGTCTAATACTAACGTCGACACACGGAAACTTTTTCATACTCATGACTTGAGTGTTCCCAGATTTTAAAAACATACAGTGTCAATTTTTTCATCCTGCTTTTTTTTCTTTTCATTGTAGATTTATGGTAAAATAAGTTATTAGTGTTTAAAATATGCCATAATAATAATAATAATAATAATAATAATAATAATAATAATAATAATAATAATAATAATAATAATAAAAATAGTCAATTTACATTGCAGTATTAGTATAGTAATAAATGTAACAATTGACATGAGCCACAGCTGTCAAGTTTAGACAAAATCAAGCAACAAGAAGCAGAAATTAAACTTTTAAAAAAACTAACTCCTCAAGAACTGGTTTATGAAATAGAATCCTATAAGGAAGAAGTGGCTCGATTAAAATCTCAATTAGTAAAATTAAATCCTCAACAGAAGGCTCAAATTGAGTTCACTTTGTCTGGTTTTGTTGCAGCGCGCCCATAATACAGTAATAACGCAATTTATTATTGCACACTGTACAACACATGTGACCTGATAATCGTGTAACTATGACATCGCATCGTTACATTTCCTCTGCTACGAATTGTTAAGAACCTACTATACACGTAATGCCGACAGTCAACGTTGATAAGCAAGACCTTTATCAGGCGCTCGGAAAACAATACAGTGAGTAAAAACTAATCATGTGGAGGACGACAATTAATATACGTATATATATATATCTAAAGCTATATTTGATCCTAAAGCTAATGCTCGAACCTTTTTTTAGATACAGAAGAATTCCGCGAATTATGCTTTGAATTTGGCATTGAATTAGAAGAGGATGTAAGATTGCTACTCACCATCACTCGATTCCTCTCTCTGTGACGCGCATCCTCATTATCTACTCAATAGACATCTGAAAAAGAGATGGTTAGCAAAGAAGTTGGAGCCGCTAAAGCAGAGGGATTATCTGAGCGGCCGATTTTGAAAATTGATATTCCAGCTAACAGGTGATTGTCTTTATTTTAACATATAAAGAGGAAACAACTAGCGTGTTTTTGCTGATGTTTTGATAGATATGATCTCCTTTGTCAAGAAGGTATATCGCGCGCCCTGCTTATTTTCCAAGAGAAGGCGGAAGCTCCTATCTATAGAGTAGTGCCTCCAAAGGATGGGCAAATGGAAGTGTTGACTATTAAGCCTGAGGTGCAGTGATGTTAATTTTTATAATATTTTCTTGTACCAGCTTGATCGCTTGCATTCAATATATTTATCAGTCTTGATTTTTATTGCTAGACTGCACAAATAAGACCGCATGCGGTAGCAGCGATTCTTAGAAATGTTACCTTTACGGAACGGAATTACAACAATTTTATGGATTTGCAAGATAAATTGCACAATAATTTATGCAGGTACGTATCAATGTTCTATGTTTTAGCTGGTACGTTATACATTAATATAATATTTTATGTAGGAGGCGTACTCTTGTAGCTATCGGGACACACGATTTAGATACATTAAAAGGGCCATTCACTTATAACGCACTTCCACCCAAGGATATTCGTTTCAAACCATTGAATCAACGCAGCGAATTTAATGGAGAGGAGCTAATGACGTTATACGAGGTAAGGCTGATACTTCACTTGTCAAAGAATTGGTTCACGAGCAATACGTTTACCTGAATCACTATTTGCTTTTATTTTACGTTTCTGCAATGGCTGTTGATTCGAAGTCTGATAAACATCTCAGCAAATTTTTACACATTATTCGAGATTCTCCTGTCTATCCTGTTATCTTTGACAGCAATGGGGTGGTCTGTTCTTTACCTCCAATCATTAACGGTGATCATTCCAAGATCACGCTAAATACAAAGAATGTGTTTATTGAATGTACAGCGACTGATTTAACAAAAGCAAAGATTGTCTTGAATACTGTTGTTACGATGTTCTCTGAATACTGTGAGGACAAGTTTACGTGAGTTTCTTATTCACAGAACTGTATCGTGTTTTCAGATCCCTAATTGTCTACGTGCTGTCAATACAGTAGTTTCTCTTTCATGGATTTACGTTAACGTTAATATTTACTTTATTTCATTCTCTCTAGCGTCGAACCAGTTAAAGTAATTTATCCAGACAACACTTCTCATGCATATCCTGATTTATCTCTGCGTCCAACAAGAGCCAAAGTGGATTATATTAACGCATGCATCGGCATTAGTCTCACCACGCCAGAAATCATTACACTTCTCAATAGGATGGCTTTGGACGCCAGACAAGCTCCCGATGACAACAATGAGATTATTGTGGACGTTCCGCCTACCAGAGCAGATATTTTGCATGCTTGTGATATCATGGAGGACGTGGCAATAGCGTTTGGATTTAATAACATCCCGAAAACCTTCCCGGATAGTTCGACTGTGGGGAGGGCTTTGCCGATAAATAAATTGAGTGATTTGGTTAGACGAGAATTAGCCTTGGCTGGATTTTCAGAGGTGTTGCCATTAATTCTGGTAAGTGGTAACAATAATTAGAACAAAATGGGAATAACAATATCAAACGCTTATAAATCGTCGCTGTTTTCCGTTAACAAGCACATAAGTGTAGTCTCATTGCTCACCGCATTTACAATTTCATCTTTTCATAGTGCTCGCATGATGAAAACTTTAGTTTTCTTAATAAGACTGATGATAACACGACTGCAGTGAAGTTATCCAATCCAAAGACTGCTGAATACCAAGTTGTTCGGACTACTCTTCTTGCCGGAGTTCTCAAGACATTACGTGAAAATAAAAAACATCCTCTCCCTATTAAGATTTTCGAAGTCTCGGACGTAGTCTTGAAAGACAGCACGCAAGAACGAATGGCTAAAAATGAGAGGAGAGTTTGCGCTGTTTACTGTAACAAATCATCTGGGTTTGAGGTTGGTATGACATTTGGTTGAACATGGTGAAGGAAATATGGGTTAGGTATATATGTATATAAAGACTAACGTCGGGATTATATCATTAGGTTATTCATGGCCTTCTCGATAATCTTATGCAAATGTTGCATGTACGCTTCGTATCTGCATCGGGATCAAATGATGGATACTTTATTAAAGAATCCGATGGTAATGTGTTGGCGGAATTCTTGTCATTATTTCAATACAACGTGTCGTTTTGTGCCATTGAATCTCCGAGCCGTGTTATGATTTACAAAACTCGAATCTCACCCATCTTTCACTTTGTC